ATGGGTCCATATTATATTTCGTTTAGATTTTACTTCTTCTCGACAGCAGTGGCGAGCTTCAATGGAAGTTTCTTTACTTGCATAGACTAGACATCTATAGATTGTAGAATCCCCTGTTTTGGCGGAAGGCCACAGTCCTCTTAGGGAAGTATCGTAAATGAGTTTGATTTGGACACTTTTGTTGTTGTCTCTCTATTGTGGCATTTTCCCTCTTGGGTTAGGCAAAAACATTTCGTCAAGACCATCAGTCGTGAATATTGGAGCTATTTTCTCGTTTGATTCTACCATTGGAAAAGTTGCCAAGATTGCCATAGAAGAAGCTGTGAAAGATGTGAATGCTGATCCCACCATTCTTCCTGGAACCAACCTTTGGTTACAAATGCAGAATTCCAACTGTAGTGGGTTTCTGGGCATGGTTGAAGGTGATCCCTTTCTTCTTTCTTTTTGCTTTCTCTTCCCTTTTTCTTGCTCCAGTTCATTGCTTTAGTTTTCTGCTGTGCGAAGAGCTTTCTTTCTAATCCCAACCCATAACTAACGATGTGTTTGTTGTAGTTTTGCAACTCATGGAGAATGACACCGTTGCCATCTTAGGCCCTCAATCTTCTGTGGTTGCCCACATTTCATCGCAAGTTGCAACTGAGTTCCAAGTTCCTCTAGTCTCATTTGCAGCCACAGATCCTACTCTCTCTGCCCTTCAATTTCCCTTCTTTGTGAGGACCGCACAGAGTGATTTGTTTCAAATGTCTGCAGTCGCTGAGATTGTTGAGTATTATGGTTGGAAGGAGGTTATTGCCATATACATCGATGATGATTATGGGTGGAATGGTATTGCAACATTGGGTGATAAACTTGCTGAAAAGCGTTGTAAAATCACATATAAGTTGGGTATTAGTCCAGAATCTGGGGTTGATCGAGCCCAAGTTATGGATCAACTTGTTAAGGTTGCACTTATGGAATCTAGAGTTATGGTTCTCCACGTGAACCCCACATTAGGCACTTTAGTCTTTTCAGTGGCTAAATACCTTCAAATGGTGGGCAATGGATATGTATGGATAACAACTGATTGGCTTTCGTCTTTATTAGACAGTGTTGTTCCTTTCTCTCTTGAGACCATGGAGATGATGCAAGGAGTTCTTTCTTTACGCCAGCACACAGCAGATTCAGATAAAAAGAGAGCTTTTCTTTCCAGGTGGAATAAGTTAACTGGTGGCTCTTTGGGTCTGAATTCTTATGGTCTATATGCTTATGACTCTGTTTGGGTGGTTGCTCGTGCCATCCACGAATTTTTGAATCAAGGTGGGGTCATTACACATTCTAATAATTCCAGGCTGCATCTTGGTGAAAGCGGTAATCTTCATCTTGAAGCCATGACTATCTTTGATGGTGGAAATCAACTGCTGAATAATATATTGCAGAGTGACTTTGTTGGTTTGACTGGTGCCATTAAGTTTGATCATGATAGATCCCTTGTTCATCCTGCATATGATATAATTAATGTCATTGGGACTGGATCAAGAAGGGTCGGTTACTGGTCCAACTACTCTGGTTTATCAATTGATGCACCGGAGACACTCTATTCCAAACCACCCAATCGCTCACACGCAAATCAGAAGCTGTACGAGGTTATATGGCCAGGAAATACAATAGAAAAGCCTCGAGGATGGGTATTCCCAAACAATGGGAAGCTACTAAACATTGGAGTGCCACTTCGGGTCAGTTACAAGGAGTTTGTAACACAAGTCAAAGGGGTCGACAATTTCCAAGGTTTCTGCATTGATGTGTTTACAGCTGCTGTAAATTTATTACCTTATGCTGTCCCGCACCGATTTATAGCCTTTGGAGATGGCCACCAGAATCCAAATTACACAGAACTTGTGTACCGGATCACAACTGGCGTGAGTGCTAAAACATATTTGAATTTTGAATTTTGTAAGTTACTGCAATTGGCTAATTCTTATCTGTGTATCAGAAATTTGATGCTGTTGTAGGAGACATAGCCATTGTCACAAGCCGTACAAAGCTTGTGGATTTTACTCTGCCATATACTGCTTCTGGACTAGTTGTTGTGGCCCCATTCAAAAAACTGAACACTGGTGCTTGGGCCTTCCTGCATCCATTTTCTCCAGCCATGTGGATGGTCACTGCTAGTTTCTTCATATTTATTGGAATAGTCGTCTGGATTTTGGAGCACAGGACGAACGACGAATTCAGAGGCCCACCTAAAAGACAATGCATCACAATTTTATGGTGAGGTCATTTGTCTAAGATCTTGCATAGTTCGTCCTTTAAAAATGTGTTTGTCACTTCCACGCTGAAAAAGAAAAGGAAGTATAAGAGGTACGGAAATGCTGTTATTTGTTTTACTGGTAAGATGGAACTCAAGTGAACAGGAGACAACTGTGGACAAATTCATAAAGAAGTAGGCAATACCTTGATTTGGAGAGTTGTTTAAAGACAATTTAATTGACATAAATCCAAAGATCTTGGTTCTTGGAATACTTAAATAGATAATGGAATCCCATGCATCTGAGATTTTCATGGAAAAAATGTGGTGAGTTTGGAACTTAAGATGGCATTTTCATGATAATAGCATTCGTCTTTGATCCAGTGATACCTTGAGCAGAGTATCACAAGAATGTGAGTTTGTCCACTCTTATTATCTTTAACCAGACAACTAGAACATGCAAATATTCGAGTCCATACTCCTCTATTTTCCTTTCTTTTCATGTTGATATCTCATTAAAATTGCCTTCTGATCCATTTATTGCTTGTTAACCTTTCAGGTTTAGCTTCTCAACTCTATTTTTTGCCCATAGTAAGTGGAAATACAATCATGCTTTCAGTTTACATTGTGCTAAATGCTATTGGCAAAAGATGGTCTGCTTTCATTAATTATTGTCGCTATACTTTTATCATCTGTAATTTAACTTATTTTGTACTTATCTTGCAGAGGAGAACACAATTAGCACTCTTGGCCGCCTAGTGCTGATCATATGGCTCTTCGTGGTTTTGATAGTAAATTCTAGCTACACTGCTAGTTTAACATCCATTCTCACTGTGCAGCGGCTATATTCTCCGATCACAGGTATTGAAACCTTGAGAGTAGGTGACGAACCGATAGGTTTCCAAGTTGGATCTTTTGCTGAACGTTATTTGCGTGAGGAGCTCAACATATCTAAATCTAGGCTTCGGTCTCTTGGATCACCCGAAGAATATACCAAGGCACTTGAGCTTGGCCCTAAGAGGGGAGGTGTTGCTGCCATAGTTGATGAACTTCTATATATTGAGAGTTTCCTCTCGAGACAGTGCACATTCAGAATTGTTGGTCAAGAGTTCACAAAAAGTGGCTGGGGTTTCGTGAGTGTCAATTTTTTTTTCTAGGCGTTGTCATACTCATTTAGTATTTGATTGATAGAAGGCATCACATCAATCGTTTAGTAACTGCTCTCCTGTTGCTCCTTTTGGTAATTTAGGCATTCCCGCGGGACTCTCCCTTGGCCATAGACTTGTCAACTGCCATTTTGCAGCTGTCAGAGAATGGCGATCTGCAACGGATTCATGACAAATGGCTTGTGAAAAGCAGCTGCAGCACGGACGATCTTGAATCAGACCGGCTTCAACTTAAGAGCTTCTGGGGCCTCTTTCTAATCTGTGGGATTGTTTGCTTCATCGCCCTTGCCATATACTGCTATCAGGTTATTCGTCAGCTGTACCGTTCCGATTCAAAAGATCCTAATTTGTCTAGCAGTAGCGGATCACGTTCAAACCGTCTCCGACGAATTATATCATTGTTGGATGAGAAGAAAGAACCTTCTAAAAGGGAAAGCAAGCGAAGGAAAGTTGAGAAATCATCTGAAAACGATAAGTATGATGATCACTTGGAGGTAAATCCTTAAGAAGTTGGCGAACAGATATTGAAGCAACCAACCAGGTTTTGTTAACGTCTTGTGTAACTGTATAATTGAGCTATCAGTTTCTTTAGGATTAGAAAAATATAAGTGCACTTGTCAAGTTTGGGAAACTCTTGCCTTCTGCTAAAGCTAAAGCATGTCGAAGGGAAAATAATCATGTATAGCCTTGTTTAAATGCACATCATTTTTCTTGTTCCCTTTTTCTTCCTTTGGTAAAATGGCAGTGTCAAATTCATAAGTAGCTGGGCAGTGGCGAACGGTTTTCGCATCCTTATCGTTAATGATAACTAAATAAACAGCCATGCTTTTAAGCAGATTCAAACGGGGTCGTTACTTGGTTTAACATAATTGAACCAAAAGTAGACTATTTTATACTCTTAATTTTGGAACAAGAAACTAAGATGTAAATATAAAGAACAATATGGACAAATGTGCAAATAAAAGATGAGGAAGAAAGGTGTAACAAAGGTGATGGTCCACGTGGTTTTCATTAATTCTTGTTCCCTTTCAAAGGTTATTGCAGTTTTAGAGCACTGCCTTAAAATGCTATAGATCTCTTCCTTAAAATTTTGAATTCAAAACAAACATTGTACATTCATGCACAGGAACAACCTAGACTCAAGCAGCCAACAAGAGACTTGATGCCTAAGCTTCATAAACTTTGCACTCTTCGTCAGCTGGGTTAGTCTGGCAGAAGTCCTCCAATGGATCTCCGCTTTTGCCCGATCCCGCACCCGGCCATTTGCTCGCCACCAAATGAGCCAAGTCGACAACTCTTTGACTGCAGACAAACGAAAAGCAAACAAAACTAAATATACTTTGGTTTATGATGCTAAAGGGAATCATAATTTCCATGAATGAATGTCCTCACCTGTATCCCCATTCATTGTCATACCAGGCAACGACCTTGAGCATATCATCACCCATTACCATTGTTAGTGAAGAGTCAATTGTGGAGGAAACATCAGTGCACTTGAAGTCCACAGAAACAAGAGGGATATCGCACACGGCTAAAATGCCCTTCAATGGTCCGTCAGCTGCCTTTCTGAAGGCAGCATTGACATCGTCTGCTGAGATGCCTTTCTTCTCAATGTTCACGACAAGGTCGACAACTGAAACGTTTGGAGTAGGCACACGAAGTGCAATACCGTTGAGCTTGCCCTTAAGCTGGGGTAACACAAGGGACACAGCCTTTGCTGCACCAGTGCTTGTAGGGACAATGTTCAGAGCTGCTGCCCTTGCACGCCTCAAGTCACGGTGTGATGCATCCAGAAGTCTCTGGAGAGGCCCAAAAACTCTTTTAACAATCACTCATCATATAAATGACATAGGATTCTACATGAATGATAATTTGTACATCTTTTTTTACCTGGTCTCCAGTGTAGGAGTGAGTGGTCGTCATGGTTCCCTTCACAATGCCTGAATTCAATCAAAATTCAAGTGGTTGAAATCAAGAAACAATGCTGCTTGGTCCAAAGCGAAAATCAGACGCTTACCGAATTCTTCATCAATGATCTTCACAAAAGGAGCAAGGCAATTGGTGGTGCAAGAAGCATTGCTGCACAAAAATTTAAAACGAAATTGAAAAACTTAAGTTATTTGCATCCCTAGCTAACCACGAATGATTATTTATCAGCATAAAGGTCAAAACAAAATCTTTTCCATATGCGAGATTGTTACCGACCTAACAATGTTAGCGACGTCGTGGTAGTAATCTTTTTCATTCACCCCAACAACATATGTTGGGATATCAGCACCTTTTGCTGGAGCAGTGATGATGACCTTCTTTGCACCAGCTTGGATGTGTTTTCCTGCACCTGGGCCATCCACAAACACTCCTGTACCCTGCAAAGGCCATGAAGATTATTAATTTATCTTGGACATAATCACAAGCTTGATAACTATTGATGGGGGTGGATAATCTGATAATTGATTGGAAGGATTTGAATGTACCTCGATAACGATGTCGATGCCAAGCTCAGCCCAAGGAAGCTTGAGGGGGTCTCTGCTTGAGACAACCTTGATTGGTTTACCATCAACAGATATGGTTTCATTGTCCACAATTTTCACATCCGCTTTGAAAGTTCCCAGCATGGAATCATATTTTAGCAAGTGGGAGGCCTGAAATTTTCATATAAATCCATCCTAAATGGTGAGACTTCTGCTTACTATGTTCAAGTAGAATAATTCAAGAAAATGGCACATGATCAGTATAATGAGATACATATTGATATTGCTTACATTCTTAACACCGCCACTGTCATTGACGACAATGACCTCAAGAGGCGAGTCTTTCCTGCCATGCCAGCACCGCAGAAAGTTTCTGCCAATTCGTCCAAATCCATTGATTGCCACCTTGAGTTTAGCCACTGTTTCTCCCCTGATAGGAGATGATCCTACTGCCTGCTACGAAGAAAATGAAAATGTTTCTACACTGTTAGCAAGGAGCAAAATAAAGACGGCTTATTAACAATCACTTAAACAAATATTGATCAAACACGTAAAATTCTTCATACTCTTATCAATTTTATCAGACTACAGTGATCACTTTTTCATCTAATGAAAAAAAAAAACACGCACACACACGTCTAGAATTTCAAACCATAAAAAGAAGGGAAAATGAAAAGAAAGAAAACCTTGGGAGTAAGTTGAGCGGCCACGACATCGAAGAAAGATCCTTCTCTTCCATTGTTGGAGAAGGCCAGGGAAGCAGATCTTAGCCCATTGAAGTCAGCCACATTGAGCCGCTGCACATGACAAATTCAAAAGTAAACAATGAGCAGAGTTCAATAAATTATGTGGAACTGCAACCATATAGAGACTAACCTTGGAGGAGCAGCGAGTGGAGAAAGAGCAGGAAGGCTTGGAGGGAAGCCTTGTGTTGGTAGGAATTCTAGTAGAAGCCAGAGCTGCGTGGGTGGCCATGGCTGCTCACTGTGACTGGCTACGCGACTCCACTTCACAAAAATATATATATATATATATAATTTTGCTAAACTCTGAAATTGCTATTTGGGTTATTCAGAAGCTAACCTTTTTGAATAACACATGGAAGGATGGTGGCAAGTTGCAAGGGAGTGATCTTGAAAGCGTTTTGTGGTGAGAAAGTTGTTGAGGGGCAGATACACGAGATAAGGTACCATTTTTCGCCTTGCAAATTCAGGAAGCCTCTGAACCACAGATGTTTCCCTTTCCCCTGTTCAACTTTCCAATAATGCCCTCAACCTACAAGCTGGGACATGTTCTTACAGACTTTTTCTCTCTAATGTCTGCCTCTTATCGTTTGATGGCGGAGAATTTTGTTCCGAAGTCAATGATTCATAGCATATCCACAGTCATTTTCACCCTTCAATTGGGATTACAGAACCACATTTTACCTCTGTTTTCTTTGTTTTTTCTCCGGATCCACTCGTTATATTATGGTCATAGTTCTTCTCCTGTAATCTCCAGAATCTCTCGTAAAGAGTTTTGTAATCTGAAAGTCCCTTAAACGCCTCTGTTTTCTCTCTTATGTTTTATTTATTCTAGGTGGAAGACAATCTGGAGTGGCTGCAGTTACATTCGGCCCCACCAACATGGAGTCATAGGACTAGAAAGAAAAATGCAAATAACAAGTGGAATGGATGAACTATGTGGCTTTCAAATACAAAACAATGTCTGTTGTTCGTGTACAAAATAGGAAACAACAAGAATGCTCTTCTACAAATCTATTCATCTTTATATGGAGCATTCGAGATAATAGCAACATAATATGCAATGATGCGTAATGTACATCAAAGCTCGGATCCAAATGTTCGAGAGAGAAAATCAAAGATAATAGCTAGAAAATTAACTATTATTGTGAGTCCCCAAGTCATGGGCAGTGGAGAGGGAAGTAACGGTAATTTCAAATGGCAGGTTCGACTTCGTCAGAGTTCACGGCCACTCCATTTGGGGAATCCTCTGTGCGGAGCTGAGTAGAAACCTCATCAATGGCAGAGTTCAACTGTTCAATCTTCTGTGCCAGCACTTTTCTCGTTTTCTGTAATTTGAATGAAAACCACGCACATGTTGGCACATCAAAAACCAAAAACCAAGAAAATGGAACGGTTTAAGCAAAAATTATTATCTTATTTCTTCTATAAATGAATTCCAGAACTTAAAAAAAAAAAAAACATTCCAAAAACAAAAGTAAATGTTGTTATACTCATGATCTTTACAAATTATGGACAAATCTTATTGGTACCCTACCCAATATCGATCCATCTTATCTTTGGTTCGTGAGTTGAAGTTCATATAATCTACTAATCTAGAGTTGAGAAGATAAATTTATGTAAAATATGTCAATTTGTTTTTCCTGAACTAAAAATTCATTAATTCTGTGGTATATGTCATAAACTCAAACTTATGAAACTCATATTTTATACTAAATATCAACTTCTACATAACATATCCCAAAAACCAAATGGAGGTGGGTTGAAATAATATGACTTTAATAAATTTGAAATAATATGACCTATGTTTGAATTGTGTAATTGAGTACGTTACTCATATTTAGTTCTTGGGTTTATGATTTGTTAAAGTTAACATTATTATACAAGATGGATTATGAATGTGATACGATTTAGTCTTATCCAAAATAATAATAATAATAATCCATAGAATTAGAAAAACTCATAGCCTAAGATAAACAAATCCACCTGACAATTTTATCCATAAGCCAAACACCACCTTAAAGAATTCTAAAACAATAAATTGCAAGATCACATTTTAAATCTTCAACAAGAAGTAGATGAAGTTGGGAAAGAAGTAAAGAAATGATGCTACCATTAAATAAAATAAAATCCACAATTATCATCAGGTAAATCAGTGTCAAGTGAAGGTGAAATGTTCATTAACGAGGTCTCTTGCAACAACTAAGAAGAGATGTGTGATTCGCACCTCTAAAGCTTTTTCTTCATCATAAATGAACTTGGGAAGTTTCCTCATCAAATCCTTTCGGTCTGCTCCAGCAATTGCTTTGCTGATCTGTAATGCAAATACAAGATCAACTGTCAGTCATAGAAACACTAGAATTCTGCACTTAACCTCAGAGGCAATGTTACGATATTTCTCCGTACATGCCCTAAGTATGTATCTGCCATAATGTAATTAGATTTCCATTATACATGTCAGTATCGACAAAAATGAAATTTATAGTATGAGAAAAGTCCATCAACATAAAAACCGTGAGGGTTCAAGTCCCTCTATCCCCAAAACCCTCAGAAGATCTATAACACACAAGTAACAGATATATCAGGTAGCCTATCCCATATATACAATTTAGAAATTAGATAAGAGATGAACAATAGCTCAAAACCTGAGGGGCATATACACAGCCAAGTGTGCCAACTATGAGCCCGCCCAAAACAAAACCTCCAATAAAAATGCCTGCATTGCCTGACCGTCCGCCATCACTGTCGCCAGGTGTGCAGAAAACCAGCATTAGAATATTTCAAATGAAGCATATAGGACAGTCCCAACGGACAACACAATATAAAATATATAATAAACATCAACTTGTATCATGTCCAATAAATACTTATTATAAATTTCTACTTAGAAATACTACAATGGAGAGTAACAGTTGTTTCGAGACTAAGACATAATTATTCAACCATTCAGAATTTATAGATCAAATTTAAAAATTGTTTCATTTGAAATATAGAAATATGGCAAATACAGGCATCCATTGCGTACGATTCAACAATTTTTTGTACAAACCAAATCTAAATGAATGAAACCCAGTTTCAAGCTTAGCAAACCAAACTGACCCATCCGTTGATGGCAAATCTGTTTATACCAATTGGACTGGTTCAGTTCAGATTGGTTAGGTTCTTGGTTGATGACTGCCTGAGACTCACAGATTCAATCCAAAGAGTTCCAATTCATTCCTATCATGTGAAGAGTTTCTAACTTTTTGTTATATCAGTGGTTATTAATTCTTCAGAAGCTTAAGTTCAATAAAGCATTGACATGACTACTTAATGGCAGATTGTTTAAGTAGAGATTTCAAAGATTGTACCTATATGCAGCTTGAACTGAGAGTGGTCGCCTAAATGTAGAAAGCTTCACCTTTCCCACCCGATCAGAATTGTGCAAGAAGCTGGTCGGAGATGCACTCCCAAGACGTTTATCAGCAGCTTTCATATTCGATCCTGGCAGGATAGTGTAGGAGAGTACATTAAGTGGAATAATATTAAAGAGGACAAACATTTATCTCCCAGATTACGGAAAATGACATCAACTATATACCAGTCAACATTTCAATCTTCCGAGAATTGCAAATTTTTCATTGATTTGGAAATCAAGACATCACGACAACGTCATAAAAGCATGGAGATTGGCTGAGCTTTTTGACAGCTATCAGTTCCAGTGTTGAGTGCAGAGATATTTGATGCCAGAATATTTATTATAGAAAGAAAGAATAAAAGGCACACCAAAAGTTTCATAACTTGGTAAATACACATTTCCATTCGCAAATCTCCCATGGAGCAAGGCTGTTTCTAACTTTCTACATATATCACCTTTCCGATTAGTGTGCTAAGTAGGTGGTCACAAGTAGCAGATAGCTAACGTTTGAAGCTCATAGTACTTCTGGATACAAATTAGAAGAAAACTAATAGCTCTCAGAGGAAGCGAGGGAATTTCGCGATGGAGAAATCGAGAACATGGCTCCCAAATCTCCAGCACTATACGACCATACCCCAAATCAAACCGGGAAAGATGCGTGAATTGAAAAAGAAATGCATAAGCAACAGCTAAAATTGATCAATAGAGGAAAAGAGAAAAGGAAGAGAAACAGCAAAGGCGAAACTTGAGTGTAAAATCAGAGATAAGATCAAATGCTGAAGAAATCAGAGAGAAAAGAAAAGTTACCAGATGATAGCTGGAGCTGAGGGTTTTTCGTTAACACCAACGAATTAGATATAGCGGTCATCGTTAAGTCTCGAAGGTGCACAGAAGAGAGAGAGCTTTGAGAGCGAGTGTGTGGTTTTTGGTTTGTATAGTGAATGTGGAGACGGTTGGGAGATTATGACGACTGAAAGATTTTTCTTGTTCGATAACTTCGATGGCCTTCAGGAAAGTATTCGCTGCATTGCGATTACGATAACTCCCCACGAGCTCCCTGCCACGTGATTTCATAATAATGGCACAGAGGCCCATTTTCAGGCCCGTGTTTTGCCTTCTCTATGTCCCGCTTTTTCTGGGCTTTCGGCCCAACTAGTTTGAAGCTTTCTGACTTCTTTTTCTTTATTTTTAATATTTTCTTAGTACAGTTAAATTTTATTTATTTATTTTTTTTAGTACCAGTTAAATTTTATTTAATATATATATATATATATATTTTATTCTGGATAAGCAATACCCGTACATCTTATTAGTTATTTCTGGTTTTTTTTCTTGTAATAACTTTTAATAGAAAAGAAATAAGAAACCAGAGATTGTAAAGTCCTTGATTTTTTTTTATTTAAAAAAGATCTATAAATAAATATGATTTTCTTTAATTATATAGGTTAACTGCTATGCTATACTCGCTTTGACAAATAAATATAAGTTTTAAAATCTTAACGTACCTGTCACTTTAATAATTGTTCATATTATCTACTCTACCATTTATATACTTTGGAAGGAAGTACACGTCTTAATTGGTTCCGTTAGTTGATAACGATGTAAAATTATTGATTAGATCATTCAAGCTCAATCAAATAATTTTTGTTAAATACAACACTCAATCAAATAATTTTAAAGTAACGAGTTCTTTTTAGTTGATAATACTATTCTATATTAGTTTTTCTTTAGCATAATGTGTGAGAGTGGGAATTGAATTTCCACTCAAAATCTGATGTTCTTTTAGTTTTTCTTTAGTTTATGATAAATTACTGTCGAACTAGATTCAGATATAATTCTATATTAATTTTTTTTTTTTAACTTCTAATTTATCTGGACATTTTTATTTCCAAATTTCAGTTGGCTTTGGAAAAGCGCCACCGAATTTCACCCAGCGATTTGTGGATATGGATATAATGTGGACGCTTGCCAAGCACATGCTCTGCGTAGTTCAACCGCCATGGCACTGGCAGTAACCAAGAGCTTGGATTCTTGGTCCATTGATCGCCTTCTTCCTCAAACACGTTCACAATCCACGCCCAGCTCAAGAGCGAACGCGAGGCAAGAAGCGCTTTCTCTGCCCATTTCAAGAAGGTCTGCAATTTTGATCTCTTCGCTACCTTTCGCTCTCGTTTCTGTATCTCCGTCCGAGGCAAGAGACAGAAGGAACAAGAAGACCGTTCCTCTCGAAGACTATCTCACCAGCCGTTAGTAATCTCAATCCTTCATGTATCGCTATCTTCTGAATTTCCACTTCATAATTTCTATAGATTGACAATCCTAAATACTATATCAGTAATTACGACCTATTCTTCAATTTCCGTACCTACATTTTATAGTGGAAGTTCGATTAGCTACAAGTTGAGCTTCTCGGGGAGTTTTTAGTTCTACTATTAGGACTGGAGAGATCTGTGATGCTTATTAATGTCTTCTTTTCCTTCAATAAAAAGTACCCGTCGATATCTCTCTGTTAGTAGTTGGAAAGTCAGGATTACAAGGAGCATTTTCTTTGATTCACATTGGCGATGACATTTTGATTGCAGCAAATGGGCTGAAGTACTATGATGTAGTGGAGGGAAAAGGTCCTGTGGCAGAAAAGGGTTCCACAGTTCAGGTAATTTGGTTGGAAAATTTGAAGGTTATTTTGCCTATCTTTGAATTTTGATTTTTTTCTGTATTAGCTTACTATTACAGGTGCACTTTGATTGCCTCTATAGAGGGATTACAGCTGTGTCAAGTCGAGAATCTAAACTCTTGGCTGGAAATCGTATTATTGCTCAGGTTCTTACATTTTGCTATTGTTTTGGTTTCATCAGTTATTATTGAGAAGAAATTGTGTACAAAAAACATGATGATTAATATTGAGAATGCATTAAATTATTAAATTTACTTTGGTCCAACAAATTAAGTTATTACATCTAGGTTGATTTGGTAACTCATAATCTGATGTAATGTAAAATGCTTATTTCTTACTTAGAGAGATGTGATATTTTACACCCAACTCAATTTCTAATGTATGATTGTATGATGTCCCACGGTATGATCAGCCTTATGAGTTCAAAGTTGGAGCGCCTCCTGGGAAGGAACGGAAGCGTGATTTTGTCGACAATCCAAATGGTCTATTTTCAGCACAGGCTGCACCTAAACCCCCACCGGCAATGTACTCCATAACCGAAGGGATGAAAGTTGGGGGAAAGGTATTTGCATTCTTCTATTTTAGATTTTAGTATATGCTTGATTTGTTTGTAGTCTTCTTCCTCTTTATTTTATTCTCTCAAGTCTCACCCTTTTATTTCTGCGAGCGTTTCTTTGTCTTCATTTCCCTTCTTTGTGCAGCGAACTGTGATTGTTCCTCCTGAGGCTGGATATGGTCAAAGGGGGATGAATGAAATCCCAGTAAGTCCCTTAATTTAAAGTTGTAGATGTTATTAAGTCTCGAGTGTGGTATTTAATTATCCATTACTTAAAAGTAAGTCCATTTACCTTTTTCTTGTGCGCGACTTTTTGACTTATTAACTATTTTTAAAATTTTCTTATCACATTTACATTTGAACGCATGAAAACACGGGAATAAGAAAAAGGTAGATTATTGCTCCAGGGGATGAAATCTAGTCTGGCTCCTTGGTTTTGTTGCCATATCATTCAATTTGATCTCAAAAAGTTGTGTTGAAAAAAATATTATTTCTTCTTATCATAAAACATGTGCATATATCTTTTGGTTTACACTTTTTCGCCACCCACGTCGACAACTAATTGCTCTTTAGTTTTAAAAGGTTTAAATATACCCTTTAATTTTTCTTTTTCAAAATTAAACCTTTTTAAGTAACTTCATTAAGTGAAAATGCCAAATCAAGAACCCACATAGACTTCAAGAACAAAATAAAAGAAACTTCAAATATATATCAGTGAATAGTGATTTTGAATCGATATAAAAGTTCTAAAGGGTATTTCAAAAGTTTAGAAGATTAATGGCAGAATTAAAAATTCATATATAGTTTTGGGGCAAAACGCAAAATTTAGCCTTCTTTTTCTTTTAAATATTCAAGCGTGATGAGTGGAGGAATGCAAGCACTGGTCAAGTCAAGTGCCCTTTGTTTTACTTATGTTATATGTCAATTATTGCGTGGGGGTTGAGATAGAGATAAGATAACAACTTTTAAGCTGTATGGTTATGGGATGTACATGTAATCCTGCTTTCTATTGGCAGCCTGGAGCTACTTTTGAATTGAACATCGAGCTTTTAGAAGTGGTGCAGCCTGAAAAAGGTGGGGCCTGACCTGATTCGGGAACAAGATTTCGATCCCCCCAAGACAAGAAGTTGAGCATTAGCTGAGTGATTCTTTTGGAAGGACGAGGAGGGGCAAATCCGAGTACTAATTAGGTAGGGGAAATTTTTTCAATGGAACCTTGAGCTCTTTTCTTGCGACTACTCTCCATGTGATGAAAATGTTAAGAGCAGTTGTTTGGTATCACCCTGTAAAACATAACAAAGCTCCATGGCACCAAAATTCTACTTTGGTATTTGGGCATATGTCACCTTTTCAGTGTTTAGCTTTTGGGTCTGGTTGGGTATCGATTTTTAGGAGGTATAGGGCGGCTGCGATAGGGAAAACGTGACAGCCTTATTTGTACATACTGCCTATTGTTTTATTAGCAAAAGGAAAAGCAGAAGTTTAAAGTGTTGGATATCGTTTTCAGAGAGGGAAACGCAATAAATTGGTGTGGATTTGGATTGGATTGGGATTGGGATTGGGATTGGATGGTTGTCCCAAGTGTCATTTTGTGGAGCATATTCAAGGATTTTCCTTTGTTGATGCGTGGAAAGTGCCTTCCCATTGCTTTGCTAGGATACCTCCACGCAGGCTCCCACCCCCTTTCTGTGAAAAGAAGCCTCTTCCTCCTTCTCCTCATACGACTTTGTTTTCGACAAGATTCTACCACACAACAACACGTTGTTGGTTTGGTTCTCCCCAACTTGGGTTTCAACTTTGAACCCCGGAATCATTTCATTTTGAGCCAAGTATAGATAGTTGGTGTTGTGTTTTCTTGTTTCACTGTGGATATGGACCAATAAGAGTGATCCATGAGAGAGAATGAAAAATGTTGAAAACGGGCGAGAGAATGTGGTTTTTGATTTTGGATTGGTTGGTGTTTCAGACTTCATTAAATAATAAATACTGCTTGTTTGGTTCATGGTTTTGGTTTTGGTTTTGGTTTTGGGTCTGCGGTTTCGTAGATGGATGACTAATAAATAACAGTGGTGGTGGTGGGGGTGGAGGGTATTGTATTTACCCTCTTGAATTTTGATACGAAACTGAATTCGTCCTTTTCAGATATTTGTCATCATATGAATTAAATGAGTTTTGATTTGATGTATGTATGGCGTTGGCTATTTTCGTGATTTCAGAAAAATTTTGATTTAAATTGACCACTGCCTTGCCTTTGAGCCTCAGGAGCTAACTCATACGTCTTCTATTTTTATTTTATATTTCACACATTTCTTCTCTTTTTTGTTTCCTCTTCTGAACCCAACTAACACCTCTACTTCTACTCCTACTTCTGTCCTCAAACGTTAATTCTTCCTTTTCTTTAATCTTTTTCCAACCTCAACAGCTAATTGAGGAGGGAGAGTGTTTTCTTTGATGAAAATTAAGAAGAATAAAATATGATGACATATTAAACAAGTATTGGAACTTATCTAGATAATTTGTTATATGAAAAAAGTTGTCTTTTTTTATAAATTAGTAGTAAAATCCAAGAGTTACTTATACAAAGCATGATAAATGTGTTTTTTTTTTATCATTGCAATTTAAATATGGGCAGGGAGAATTTGAATTTGAAGGTATTTGAAAGATAATGAATTTATAGGGTGGCGTCTATTTAAACGGCGTTAGAAATGGGGCGGGTGTAATCAGGAGCTCCCATAGCCAAAAACGTAAACCCGATTCCCGGATCCAAGTATAAAAACCCCAAAATCCCATCGAAACGACTAACGTTACGCCCACAGTTGATTCAAAACGACTGCCCTTCCCAACTCTCTTGCCTCTTCCCCCTATCTCGCCGCTCCTCATGCG